CTTAGCCCCCCAAAGTTCTGGCTCCGTGGCGTGTTCATATACACCTTGGAGTAGAAAAATTCAAGAGATTGTTTCATCCATCGGCAATGATGAAGAGAAGGACACAAGTAAGGAAGAACGTCGTTGAATATTTGTGGACATTGCGCAAGAAGCAGGATTGTTTTTTCAGAAGATGGCATAAGGAAAGGAGAGAGAAAAGGAACAATGACAAGATAGGGGAGAACAAAGGGTGCAGCGGGCACCCCCCACCCCCCTCCTCTAACTTTGGGAGAGAACCCCATTTTTGTTACGAAAAAGAAATAAAAAAGCGTACAACAAGCTAGGTATGACAAAACATATGTCTTGTATTTTATGGAAGAATTGTCCACTTTTACTGCATTGGTCTTGCGAAACGAAGCAAAATGCGTATCATCCACCGCCAGAGAAACATTGTGTGATACCTATGATATCAAGTTATTTGATGTCATGAGAGTTTGCTGAGTTTGTTTCCGTCTAACATGTTTGAATTGGGGCTCTGTCAATCTCCAGCATGCGAGCGTGGTTCCCCGTACAAACAGTTAACCACATAGTAGAGACTTGTCAGCTGCATCAGTGCCCAGGGTTGGACTCACTTAAGTCGTTAGTCGAAAGAGCTAAAGACTGGCTTGAGAATGCCAATATAAGCCTTTGACTTTTGATTCTTGAGTGTACATTATCTGGATGAAAACGGACATTCTCATGTATGTATATATATAAAGAGAGGGAGTTTGCTGAAATGACTATGTATTTAATGAGTTTATATTTAGTTAAATGGAATAAATTTACTCACAAAGAAAAGTGTGTTGTCGTTCGTAGACAAACAATTCAACAATTTTTTTCATCGCCGGTTATTGCAACTTTATAGTATTATTTCCGTGGCGCTTTTTGCTTGTTTTACGTGTTTGTCACTCAGTGCATTAAAAACTGACATTTTGATGCAAATGCGATCTACTGTTATTAATTCAAATTCCATGCTCTAAGCTCCGTTTAATATATTTTGAATCGTCATACTCAAAAGGAATTGTGCTTATCTTGATGTGTAGAAATTGATTTGTACAAATTTACTTGTTTGTCTGTAGGACTGAGACTAGCGTGTGCTGATATAAAAGATTTCTCTACATGTGGGATTGATTTTCTTTTCTTTTAAATACAAATAAGAATCGTCCATCAAACCAACAAAAGCGTTGTAACTATATATAGTTAGCCGGTCAATAAACGCATTGACCTGCCTTGTGCAGCTAAAGCCAAGATTACATTTGAAATGCGATGCACGTGCGGTGCACGCATACTGCACTCATACACGCATACATCCCCTTTTCGTAGGGCGTCTGAGCGGAGGTAGACGGTGGCCGTGCAAAAGGGCACGGAATCGTATAGAAGCTGTACGGTTTTGTCAAGCTGTAACTTAGAAAGGAAAAGGAGCTGCTGTTGCACACCTGTACAATTCGCAATTTTTGCAACAACAACATCAACCTTTTAAAATGTAGATCTCAACTACCACAATTTGATGAATAATCTACTAGTTAAATTGAGTGAAAAAGGGTATTAGTATAGAGACCATGGATTTTGGCTAGAGAAATGCTTGAGACAGATATGAAGGCCTTCAATACATGCAAACAGGTTATTTGTTTTCCTCGTGGTACCCATCTAAACGCTGAAATGAAAAAAAAAAGAAAGAGACGTGGTGGATTGGGAAAAAAGAAAGCGTCTAACACATCATACTGTAACAATCAGGGAAGTAGGCAAAGGAAATGTTTAAAATGCTTAAGACAGCAGTGAAGGGCTAAGATACATGCAGACAGATCGTTTTGTAATGTCTGTAGTACTGAGTTAGAAAATGAACTGGAAAAAGTAAGAGACACCTGATGGGCTGGGAGAAATAAAATGGCCAGCACTTCATAAAGATACCCCATATATATTTTTCCAAAAATCACTAGGGCGACTGCCTTCCTATCTTACTACAACCCATCCCACAGCACAATCAATTATCGAAGAATTCCGTGCATAATGTTGATTTTTGTTGTTTATAAAGGGAGTTATTGGTAAAAACAAATACGAATTAAAGTATTAACTTTAAATTTTACGAAAAAAAATAGCAAAAGCGTGTGTCTGTTAAGAATTAATATTAATGCTATGGTTTTATAAATGTGACCCAACCAGTGAGCACACCTTACAGTGACGAGTTCATTTCACAGGGAATAATACATTATATTTACACAGGACTTACTGCTTTGTTCGGGGTATGCAGTAAAAAACCGCGCGACATATGTGGCATCACGATTCAGATGATTGTATCCCTTTTACAAATATTAGATTCATTACACATTTATTGGGTATTGATTTTAGATCGCATTAAAATGTTTAGATTACATGGGTTTTGTTGTATTTTGGGACGTAACTGAAGGGTTGAGAGCGAGAGAGAGAGAGAGAGAGAGAGAGAATTGGAGAATAGGATGGAAGTGAAGATGGGAAGGGTAGGCGATAGAAAGAGAGGCATGCAGGAAGGATAATCTTCAAAAGAAAGAGAAAGATACGGACAGGAAAAACAAGGGAGAGAGAAGCGAGCTGACGACGCTGAGGACCTTCATGACCTTGGGAGTTTAATTCCCTACATTTTATTTTGGGTTGCATACCGATCTCTTACTACACGCACTAATTCAAGATCTCAATTTGAGAAATCTCACCAGTGAGAGCCCTCAACACACAAAGGGTCTAGTTTCTCATTATTCCTATATATACCTACTGACAGCTTTATCCTCCACTGAACCTTTGTGCTAAGAAAACCTACCTTCACCATCTCGCGTTACCGGTACTCTGTATTAGTACGAGAAGCTAGCTGCCTGGCGCCTTTTTATTTTTATTTTATCATTTCATTTTATTTATTTATTTATTTATTTATTTATTTATTTATTTGTAAAAATTCTCTCACGGTACAAAAATACAGATGAATAGCCCTAAAACATCTGAGAATATCTAGTGAACATATCTATCCGTGACCCTGCTACAGGATACGATACCAAATCTACACTTAATACTAAAAAAAAAGTTGAACAACTTCATAAGTTACGAAACCAATCGGTTGCCAGTCCAGCAGCAGTCCACGTGTTAACAACACACTCGATTATGCTTTTCTGCTGGGTGGGAGACTGAGAAGTGCAAATTACATTTTCAAAGGCGTTTTAAAGTTTGGAAATGTTATCTACCAGTACGCACTTGCACTATTAAGGGTATGATCTATAAATATTCATGCATGTACTAGAAGTTTACGTTTGTTGTGAACTGAAGACCCATCCATTGACAAAAATAAGAGAAATCCAATTTGTTTTGCACTTCTAAAGATATTCCACAAACAAAATATAAGAAATCGACNTCTCTCTCTCTCTCTCTGTCTCTCTGAGAATTCGTACGAGAAAAAAAAAGCCCCCCATCTCCCACACAAGAAAATGCCTTCATAATCCTCCAACGAAGTTCAGTACAAGCGCAAACAAAATGACAGCTTTGGGTCAGTTAATACAACTAAGGGCCAGAGGATCCCTTAATGTCGCGATATCGACAAATAATCAAACCCCAGTTGACTGTCAATATTGCGTTCTTTTACCCGTCAGCTGCCTTCGTGTCATATTGTATTGACACTTCTTTTTGCGTCTTTTTCCTTTCATTCTTCTCTTTTCTCACATTTCATTGTAGCGTGAATTGAGTGGAGTGTGCTTTCTATATCATATATTATTGCCTATTGACGAGATTAGATGGAGATCTCTGTTTTCATGTATTAAATCGTGATGACGGGGTGTTAGGGGCCATTCTCCCCTGTAAAATCATTCTCCCTTATTTACTTTGCTTTCACTGGCAAGTCACGATGTACGCGACAATGGGATTCAAAAGACGTCGCAGATCCATTGTCAACACATATCTTCTTCAAATTAAATTGGATTGTTCATCCATGTTATGATCTATATAAGAATTCTTATCAGTAAGCAATCTGGATAGAAGATATTATTGCAAAATCCATTCAGAGTAAGACACTGGAAAAATATACTCTCCGCACCCCGGCCTCGGTTTGATTCATGTTTTGACATCTGTAAGTATAGCTGGAATTGAAAGTATACCTAGTTCGAGGTAACAATATTAAGATGTTGCACAGCCCCTACATAGGAGTTTATGGAACAAAAAAGGGCAAAGGGACGAAATTTGATAAATCAGTCACGAATTTGATGTTAAAGACGAGTATTATGTTATTGTTATCTAGAAGTGAAAGGACGAAATTGCGACACTGGTTTGAGGCGTTTTAAGGGATATTACACAAGGTCACACGATTTCTTTTACTTGATAGATAAATACAAAATTAAGGCGGCTATCTTTATACGGTGGTTAGTAAATAACTTAAAGCGGCATACCTTAAAGTAATTTTAAAAGTGAAATTCAGTCAAAGAAACATCTGCTGTATATCGTTAAATCCAAGCAAAGTTCATACCATTCAGCACAAAATATGTTTGACTTGCAGCACAAAAGGGGGATTCTTTGATGAAAAAGTGATGAAAATCCAGATAACAATTTGCTTGATGAATAACCAGGCCGGAAAGCGCCTACAAACCCCTCCCTTTGGCGCCCTCCTCTGTAATCCCATTGAAAGCAGCGTCTCAAGCCCAAATGACGTGTGTGCCGTTCACAAACACTGAAAACACAAAACCGGGGGTCACGGACCGTGTAATTCGTATCACAAATCACTTCTCTAGGGTGGAGACGCTCCTAGCCGAGCTAAAAGCGAGCGAAGAAATCAAATGCGACGCTAGAGTCGTATTAGACATCGTATTGCGAGGCACAGATCGTCGATCATTTTTAAGACCGACGGAGTCCATGTAACGAGGAGGAGTTCACAACTGCGAGAGCGACTAGTTTAAGGCGACAACAAGATGCGCTGCGTGGTGTTAGCCCCTCTCTTCTTCGTTTCTTTGTGGTGCGCCACGGAAGGTATTATTTTCTCAATGCTAACCAAAGGAAGGCGCATTAAGAGAGCTGGTGCTGATCGCGCCGAGCAAATCCCTCCACAGGGACTCCTTTCAGACTTGACCAAGCATCACCCAGATAGGAACATCGACAAGCGAGACGGAAATTTGGACGACACTTATCATCAGCCGCTCTATACCGATGGGTCTCAGGTAGATGACGTTACCTCGAAGGACGCCGCCAAGATAGCTGAAGAAATGCGAAGCCGACTGAAAAGTTTCGAGGCAAGACGGCAAGGGGAGGCGGTGAAGAGCGTTCTTAAAGAAGATGACGACTTATCGCTGCTGGACCAGATCGATAGCGTTCTGGGGGCGCCGCTTAAGAAAGCACTCTTGGAGGTGTTGGATAATGAAATTAAAGGTGACTCTTATTTTGCTTAAAATGCCTGCTTCTATCCCCTCCTTTCCATATCTCTCTCTCTCTCTCTCTCTCTCTCTCTCAAATCCCAATACGCTTTAATAGTGATTTATAAGAAAAAAGCGTTTACTTTTCCCCTGATGGCATTTTATTTCCTAATTTCTTAACAATACTATCAATTTTAGTACGCCTGTTTTTGTCTTTTTTTTAAGACACGGATAAACCTAGCACCACAGAGAAAAAATCACACAGTGAGAAAATCGATGACAAAAACAACAAAGACTATCCGTTTTATCCCGAGAATTCCATTCCAAATCAGAACAGCGATGACTCGGTTAAAACCTCCAAAGTGGACACAGCAGCTCGCAACCTGGCGAGTTTCAAAACTGGAGTAGGAAAGAGTCGTCCTCGCACTCGTGTGTTGGTGGCAGCCAGCGCCCCATTGGCAGATCGCAATGTCGTGCGTAAGAAGGCCGAGATGTCAGCTGTGCCGTCGCAGCGACAGGCATCAACAGCGGTAAAAAATCCTGGTTCTGATAGCTTCATCGCAGAGAAGGAGACTCAGAAACCTCAAACACGGTTCTTAGTTGCGCCTGATCGCGCTACGGAAGAGAACAGAAATGAAAATGATGCCGCTGTATCGTCCCAACACCAACAGCAAGCTGATGTGGTTGACAAAAAGGAGAGTATTGCATCAAGTCTCGCAACTAGAGGGCAGACGTCGCACTTCCAGATGAGATATTTAGTCGCTCCCGATGCTCCAATCACCGAAGAGAAGGCGAGAAAGCAAGAAACAATGGCAGATCACAACGGCGTGCAAAAGAAGGATGAAGTGTCAGCGGCTGATAGCTTTGTCGCAGACAGAGAAAATCAGAAACCTCATACACGGCTCTTAGTTGCGCCTGTTCACGCAAACGACGAGAACAGAAATGAAAACGCTGCTGCTGATGTGTCTTCTCGTCAACAGACCCAAACAGCTGTCAAAAAGGAAAATACTGCGTCAAGTCTAACAACTCGAGGGCAGAACTTGCACTTTAAGACAAGATTTTTCGTCGCTCCTGACGCGCCAATGACCGAGGAGAAGGCGAGAGAACAAGATGCATCCACTTCAGATGTGGCCGATGATCGTAACGTTGATGAAAGTTATCCGGAACTAGAAGAAGACGTTGGCAATGAGGAACTAGATGAAGGTAAGAATACCCAGTATTATTTATGAATTTAGATAAATATCAGGGCCGTAGCCTGAGCAAAATGCCAGGGGGGGCAGTAAGCGGACACGAGGGGGCGAAGCTACCGAGGGGGGTGGGTATGGTGTGTAAAATTCCTAATTCCAGGGGGGGCAGCTGCCCCCCTGCCCCCCCGGAGGCTACGGCCCTGAATATCTTTTACATGTATATTGATATCTTGTTATTTAGTTCAAGTAATTTCTACAACAATGACCTAATAACAAATTGATATTAAGACATCCTTTTGATTAATTCTCAGTGGATCATATTGAAGCTACATTTCACGTCACATGCATTACCCCACTAAATAAAGTTTATTATTATTATTATTATTATTATTATTATTATTATTATTATTATTATTCATTTTGTTATCCCCCCTTTGTTGTATAATTGTTTTATCAATATCAAACGATTAAAACAAACAATGTATCAATTGGTTAATACAGTTACTATTTTGTTTGTCCATCTACATGTACTAGTATCTAACTAATTAAACTTTGGTATTTATCTTCAAGATTTGGAAGGAGAGGAGGACATGGACGATGACAACGGCGAGCTAGATGGAGGTATGGAACAGCATTTTACTTTTATCTATGTGCTAATCTTTGACCCCATTCCCAGAGATTAGATCGATCCAAACTAGATCGACCTAACTCCCTGGGGGTTCACGCTAAATAGCTGTCAGCCGAGCGGGCACGAAAGTTAATTACCCCCTTACAGCTTGTAGTAGGCGGGACGGACATTTAAGCCGGATTTACTGACAGTAATCTAGTGAGACTCCCCACGGGGATAGATCGATCTAAAATCTATGGGAATACGCCCTTTATCGTTTGTGAAGAAAACATAGCAAAGTATGGGGGCGTCTCGATAGTCCGAAGGTTCATTGGTCCGAAAAGTGGTAACATTTTCATCGTTTTTTTAATCAAGGGTTCATTGGTCCGAAGGTTCTATAGTGAATATTCGGACCAATAAACCTTCGGACTATTGAAACTTCGGACTATTGCTACGGCCCCGCAAAGTATTACATGTACACACAATGGACAATAGAAGTGTCACCCCCTGAATCAGTGTAATCAAAGTTATAATGCCTGGTCTACTTATAACGTGACTAATGATTATTAAACCGCTGTACCATGGAATTGTATTGTTGGTCTTTTTGTGAAATTTGATGTTAATAAAATGATACCAGAAACATATTATTCCATAGTCATTTATCTCCCCCAAAGTATTGGTTCAGTAGGGGTGACACTTCTATCGTCCAGTGTGTGTATATAGTAGTTAATATTATGTTGAAGTGTGGCTCGATATGGTTTACGTATAGTACCAGCAAATCAATTAAAATATATTGTCTTTATACCCCTTTCTGTTTTTTACATTTTGTTGTAGATTTGGAAATTGAAGAAAGCAGAGACGAAAACGATGAGTTAGATGAAGGTAGGGAGCAACATTTTGTTAAATTTCAAAATATAATTAATCATTTAAGAAGAAAAGATTGATACAAAAAATGTTATCTGGTACAACGTGCAACACTTTCGAGCATTTTGGTGCGATATAGGTTATTTTTAATTAATGTGGATTCATTATTTGTCGTAGATTTAGAAGGCGACGAGAGCAATGACGATGACATGGAATTAGATGAAGGTACATGTAATAGGTCTAGACGCTCCTCTATATCTGATCAATAACTTCAAAATAGAGACTTTCTTTTTTATATAATGCTTTAGTCGTATTTACACAATTCAAATATATCTAATTAGTATATTTATAAAGTTAGTTAGTTATAATTAGTTAGTAAGTAAGTAAGTTAGTTGATTGGTTATTTGGTTAGTTACTGTCAGTCAGATGGTTAGCCAGTTAGTCGCAACATGGAACACCAGTGTATGATGTTCGTTTATTATAAGGATTGCGAATTGACCAAGTGCTGTATTTTTGTTTTAGATTTGAAGGAAAATGATGTGGATCAGGACCTGGATCAAGATCAGGATGTAGACCTGGATCAGGATATGGACCAGGGTGTGGATCTGGATCAGGATGGGGACGCGGAAGCCCAAGTTAAAGGTGAGTTTATTGATGATCCTTTTGACAGTTTAAATGTCTAGTTGTCAACATGGCCTTTTTATTATTTAGTGAGCATAACTAGTATTTGCTTTGTGAAAAACAAAACCTGTTTACCTCTTGGGAATATATTTTTGGATTGCTTTAATATGAAGGCTACGGATACTGTAGCTGTCTTAAGATTTCTAAATTTAGCTTGTATTACAGGCAAGTATTATTGAAGTTTGCTGTTTAAAACGCATTAACGGTCATTCGTGCACTGGAACTTATTAGTTTTTCTTCCAATTATTATTCCTTATTCAGACATACATCCATATGTTTATTTGTTTATACATGAGTAAATTTATGTTATCACTTACCAGTTGAACAACGCTGAACTCCCGTCCAAACACACATACACACACGTACACACACAAACACACAAACACACACACACTCACACACACCCTCACAAAAACACGCACACAAACACAAAAACACACACAGCACAAGGTATAATTTTGGGACTGGTGACCACTTTATTATTCTACATGTATTTATCAATTTATTTACAGAACATCCCAACCGCGTTGAGCAAGTTCCCGTAAAAGCATCAGACCACCGCCCCTCAGCTTTCTACCCTGAACAAGTACGAGGATATCATCCAACAGCAGTGGACAAGGCCGCAGGGGCAAAAGTAGATCAGGCGTCTCGTGCGGCTGCCAAGGCCTACATTGCTGCTCGGGAGAAGGAGGGCACTTTTGTTCGCAGGTATTTCGTAGCTCCTGATGCGCTGATTTCTGATTCGAGGGCCTCGAAGAAAAGTGCAAGTGCCATGGTGAAAAAGAGCAAAGTTGACAGTGATGGTACGGTTCTCTCTCCCTCTCTCTCTACAGAATATATATATATATTCTTCTTTTAATTTTTAATTGTCTTTTAAAAGAGAGACAAGGAAAATCAAATAACCAGAAATCTCCCAATAATTTTCAATCGAATCTTGTCATTTGTAAACTGACTCTATATAGGGGTACAACATAATTTTACGAAACTTTGATGACTCGGTCAATATTCATTTTCTGCTTTGTTTAAGAAGCGATGGAGAAAATTCCAGATGACTTAGACTCCGCACCTGAAGATGGTTTTGATGACGACGACGAAAGTGGGAAGATAGAAAAACGAGCATGGAGTAAGTTCCGCCCTCTATTGGGATATTTCTCTATATTTCTCTAAAATGCAATTTGGTTGTAATTGAGATGTAGCGACTTTCTTTTTCAATTTCAATAAAATGTATTTCAATCTTGAAAATAATTTATGCTGATATCACAACTGAACTTGAATGATTCGTTTAGCTTTTAATGTTTATGAAATACTGATAGAAAAAATATAATATTTTATGATTACTTTTGTAAGTTCAAATTCAATGTTCAAATTCATGTAGACCTATGGTTTTGGTAATTATAAGCCATCCCAGGATANCAGTTTAAATGTCTAGTTGTCAACATGGCCTTTTTATTATTTAGTGAGCATAACTAGTATTTGCTTTGTGAAAAACAAAACCTGTTTACCTCTTGGGAATATATTTTTGGATTGCTTTAATATGAAGGCTACGGATACTGTAGCTGTCTTAAGATTTCTAAATTTAGCTTGTATTACAGGCAAGTATTATTGAAGTTTGCTGTTTAAAACGCATTAACGGTCATTCGTGCACTGGAACTTATTAGTTTTTCTTCCAATTATTATTCCTTATTCAGACATACATCCATATGTTTATTTGTTTATACATGAGTAAATTTATGTTATCACTTACCAGTTGAACAACGCTGAACTCCCGTCCAAACACACATACACACACGTACACACACAAACACACAAACACACACACACTCACACACACCCTCACAAAAACACGCACACAAACACAAAAACACACACAGCACAAGGTATAATTTTGGGACTGGTGACCACTTTATTATTCTACATGTATTTATCAATTTATTTACAGAACATCCCAACCGCGTTGAGCAAGTTCCCGTAAAAGCATCAGACCACCGCCCCTCAGCTTTCTACCCTGAACAAGTACGAGGATATCATCCAACAGCAGTGGACAAGGCCGCAGGGGCAAAAGTAGATCAGGCGTCTCGTGCGGCTGCCAAGGCCTACATTGCTGCTCGGGAGAAGGAGGGCACTTTTGTTCGCAGGTATTTCGTAGCTCCTGATGCGCTGATTTCTGATTCGAGGGCCTCGAAGAAAAGTGCAAGTGCCATGGTGAAAAAGAGCAAAGTTGACAGTGATGGTACGGTTCTCTCTCCCTCTCTCTCTACAGAATATATATATATATTCTTCTTTTAATTTTTAATTGTCTTTTAAAAGAGAGACAAGGAAAATCAAATAACCAGAAATCTCCCAATAATTTTCAATCGAATCTTGTCATTTGTAAACTGACTCTATATAGGGGTACAACATAATTTTACGAAACTTTGATGACTCGGTCAATATTCATTTTCTGCTTTGTTTAAGAAGCGATGGAGAAAATTCCAGATGACTTAGACTCCGCACCTGAAGATGGTTTTGATGACGACGACGAAAGTGGGAAGATAGAAAAACGAGCATGGAGTAAGTTCCGCCCTCTATTGGGATATTTCTCTATATTTCTCTAAAATGCAATTTGGTTGTAATTGAGATGTAGCGACTTTCTTTTTCAATTTCAATAAAATGTATTTCAATCTTGAAAATAATTTATGCTGATATCACAACTGAACTTGAATGATTCGTTTAGCTTTTAATGTTTATGAAATACTGATAGAAAAAATATAATATTTTATGATTACTTTTGTAAGTTCAAATTCAATGTTCAAATTCATGTAGACCTATGGTTTTGGTAATTATAAGCCATCCCAGGATAACTGTTTTTAGAAAATCAGAACCCTCTTAAAATAAAATGCAATCAATATACAGTTAATCTTTTTCATATCTTAACAATGCTTTGGATATTTTGTAAAACGGTTTTGATCGAAAGTATGCGATAATCTTAAGGGGGTCTAATGCTAGATTACAGAACATTTCAAGAAAAATGGTGACATCTTCCTTATCTAAAAATCAGATTCATCCCCTTTGATGAGATGGAAATCTTTGTGAAAAAACGCGGCGCCGGACAATTTATTCATGATTCATTTTCAAATTTAAAAAAATTGTGTGTGTGTGTGTGTGTGTGTGTTATCATTTGTAGGGCTCCTCAAAGAATATTATTATTGTTGTTGGTTTTATTGTAAACTTTGGTAATCTAATGAGGCATCATTTCTTTTTTTCTTACAGGCAGGAAAAAGTGCGATCTTAACTGCGTCAAAGACACCGTGATGTGCTCCAATAAGACCCAAGCGGAACAAAAAACCCACGTCAAATGCGGATATAATCCAAACCTTAAATACACCTCCGTCAAGCGCTCCAGTTTTACCATATGCACCGCCCCCTATCGACTGAAACTCTCCTGCTCCCGCAATAAGAAATGTTTCTACACCAGGGGGTGTTACGGTCTGTTTGACGTTGAATACTGCTATCACACGTGTGACTTCGCCTATTACAGTAAAAAGTGACAAGGACTTTTTTTCCAAAATGAAAGTGTTATTGCAAGGGAATAGAAATCTTAAACTCATTTTGGACAATGGATTGTGAAATAATGTTGACCGCGTGGAAAAATGTTATCTGTACATGTATTACAAATGTACAGACACCCTTTCACACACAGAGTCAAGCACCGGGTACAGTTTTGATATTGCACGTCAAAAACTTTGTCCTTGTAATGATTTTGGATTAGTAATTTCTTTAAAAAATATGGTATACCTGTACTTAATAAATATTTTTTCTTCAAATGCCATAGCAATAAATACTTATCACTTGAAGTATTTTGGATTATTTTGTCCCGAAATTCATTCAACCAATTAATGCCACAGCCTAAACCTTTGTCAGAAGGCTTAATGCAAGCCTGGACGATTATTATTCGTCCAAGATACAAGTCTTCTCTTCTAAGCGCGTCTCTAAAACAACCCAGAAATATTTGTAATAACCCGCTATTAACATACTGACACATATTGACACATGGTTTAATTTAGATTTTCGATAAAGTTTCTTTGCTCCAAGAAGTTGCCTGAACATTATTTGTGAAAATTGAACACAAAGACGTGAATCATGCCCCCTCAGATACATTGTGTAATACTGGATCTTCCAACTTTGTTATTTATGTATCCTTATCGAGTTATTCAATTGAGTTTTATTTTTCTTTCTTTTTTGTGATTTTTTAATCTTTGTCTCACATTACCGTGCCACACTACGAGATATCTCCCTTAACTTATAGGCCTACTCAGTACCGGTACTTAATTTTGTCTTGACTCTCGTTCATTCGTTCGGGTGAAAAAGTTCGAAGAACATCGGGTACCTCCGTCGGGAAAACCGAGTATGATAAGTGTCTGGTGTCCTCTAAATCTTACTGGTGTAATTTTTGTGCCCAAAGGGAAAAAACTATTCCTTTACATTGACCGATGGGAGTTTGATTTAAATTGTATATGCTTACAGAATTGATTTCTGTGTCGTTTCACTTTTCTTTTAATAGAAAAGGGGGAATATTAAGTAAATTCTTCGAGTTCATAAATTACACATTTTAAAATGATTCTCACAATTCTGCGAAGGAACGACTCTGCATGAGGAAGGAGTAACAGCATAAAACTTTTTGACAGTTCATAATATCTATAGTAACAGGCCCCTTGTTAGAAGGTACTTTCCCATATCCTTGTTGAAATCACCCTTTACGTGCTTCCTATTATAGAAAAAAAGAAATTGACAGACTTTTTTCCGAAATGAAAGTGATATTGCAGTGGGAATAGAAATTCTTGGCCCTTTTTGTACATGGAATTGTAAAATTTTGACCGTGTGGGAAAAAATGACATCTGTTAAACGGTGCAAACTTAATTGAACCGCGCCACTTTGCCTTTTGTTGCGAAGTTGATTTACCAAAGCAAATATTGTTTTTTGTTTTTTTTTTTTTTTTTTTTTTTTTTTTTGGGGGGGGGGGGGGGGGGGGTGGGGGTGGGCATACCCTCTACCAGGGCCACAGGTTGATTTTTCACTTGATATTCACATATGTCTCTGCATGGTTAAATAGATGGCTATCTATGTACTGTGGTAGTTAAGAGCACACATATTACCGCGGGTCTGGTAGAGGGTATGGGGCGGGGTTTCACTTAGGCCTATACAGAACATTTCTTCTGGCATCAAACCCTTCAATAACATCAAACTGAAAAGAAAATTGAGAAAGAAGGTTCATCAGACACTGATTTATTGCGCCCTCAGGAGAGAGGTCTTAACTCCCCCCCCCCCCCCCCCAACACCACCACCACCACCACCGCTCAACCGCTTTTTTTATTTTGTCACTTGCCTTCCCCTGCATTACGCTACACCTCTAATGGACCTCCTGTTGTAATTTTATGGACTGTCCTAGGCCAATGTACACTATGGAGTAGGCTATTAGGTAGACGTAGTTTTTACTCTGTCGGACTCACAGAGAGCAAACTTTAATCCGTATTGTGGTGGGTAGCTTAAAAGATCATAAAATAGTGGTGAGGGTGGGGGAGAGAGATTCTTCTTACAGTTTCCACGCCTTCTACATGTACGCTCATGATTGACGTGTTTGAAAATATTAAGGGGGAGAGGGGGAGGGGGAGTAGCCTCTACCAGAGGTATTCTGTAGCTGTCATACATTGTGTCTAATATGTTTTATTAAAACAGGTAGTCTAGAGATATTCTCTGGTATAAAGTAGAGGGCGGTAATTAACCCCCCCCCCCCCATACACACACACACACACACACGCTCCCCCTACCTGACCCTGCGTCTTTTTGCCAAATTAAAGAATTTTAAAAACTAACCAGTGTTGAATTATTTCAACAATCCGGAGATTTTAATAGTTCATGACATAAGGAATCAAGCCTATATGCCTATAAGAATTACGCAATGACAAAAAATAAATGGTTAAATGCACGTATTATTATTATTAAATTGAATGAGGCTGGGGTAGGTTCTTGTGTAAGCCCACCGGTCACAGAATAGGCCGGTATAGGGACCGGCCCCTACTTGACGACGATCAAATTTCCGACTTTTCTTTAACAAATCTTCTGCTGGTGACTAAGCAAATTCTAAAAAGTCTGCTCACAAGCACGTGGCAGACGTCATACCAGTCGTTACACCAGATCAGATGCACAGGCAAGGTGATTTGGGAATAAACATTAAGTGGGTCGTGGGAGGAATTTAACGGGTCACGAGCGCATTTAAATAAGAAAAGGTCCGGTTGGAGATTCCACTGCGCAAGCGCGTTGGTATTTCCACAGAAGTCTAAAAATAGATAGACTAAACGGGGAGAAGGGAATTCCATGATCTCACGCTCGTAGGAATCAACGCGGAAAACGAAACGTATGGCAGAAGTTTGTGACTATTTCACCGATAAAGACGTATAACTACACAGTCCTCTAGCTAGAAACGTTCTATTCATGTTTGATATCCTTTCACAACATGGTCGATCGAGAAAGAGCTCTGGGGAGAAGGGCACGCGAGCCCTCTGGCGAAGGTGACAGCACTGTACGAGCACAAGGCATGCCGCTGCTGGAATGTTCGTTAATACCACCAAGACCGACAGCAGGCCTGCCGATTCCCAACGCCGCTGCTCACTTTTTAGCTCGAGAACTAGGACATTGTTCACAGTGTGGATCTAATAGTTCAACAGCTGTTTCGTCGGTGGCTTCGGACTTAGACAGTTACGGATCAGGAAGAGATTTGCTCCCACCGCCTTTATCCTGCTCGAGATCGAGACAGGTTTATAACGGTACGCCGGTTTACGATGACATTGAGGGAAATAGCCCAGTACAGTGTAAGAAAACGTCGAGGACGAGACGATGTTTTTGTAGCCTACCCGTTACATGTCTGCTCACTTTTTTAGTCATAACTGGTATTGCTGCAGCAGGGACAGCATTTTACTTCCTTATATATAAGCCCGATGTGGAAAGACTCCAGCAAAAGATAAACAAAACAGAAGACTTGGCGAAGTTAAAACAGGTACGGTATTCTTCATTTTATGTCCGCATATCACTACTGTTCAAAATATATTAGGGGGAGAAAAGCGCAGTTCAAGTTTTAATATTAAATTGAGTTTTCATTTTACGGTTTAGTAACGGATGGATGGATAGTACTAATTTAAAGGCGAAAGAGCCCTAGAAGGAGAATTCTTTCAACAGGGATTGCATGTTTAGGCACGCGATAGGGGTGTGGTTGGTGATGTTACAGTTTATCGTTCTCACTTCACTAACCAACATTTATTTATTATCCGTAGAAATATTCGCCTCTTTTTTCTAATGTGAATCCCCGCCCCCTTCAAAACTGTCTGAACGCGTTTTTGCAATGATTTAATTCGGCGACTTTTTCCTCTGTTTTGTGTGCCTTTAGTTTAATTTGCTTTCAATTTCGATAAAAATTGCCTCATTGTTTCATTTTCGTTTTCAGTATAATGGTGAAAATTTGAAGAACGCACGCCAGTTAGAAGGGGAAGGCCCCTTTGCGTTCCTTTATGGGAAGAAGCCAGAAAGAGGTAAATTTCACTGTACTTTTGAAATATTTGTAAAAAAGAAAATAGACAAATGAATCTTCAATATAGCCTACATTGAAGATAAAACAGGCAGTTGGGATTAATCAAATCTTTCATTTAATTCTTTCAAACAAAAAAGTGTCTTTTCCAATGTTGGAAAAACCTCATCTAAAATAGAAAAATATTCTCCATAAATAAAAGAATTGAACGCCTCAGGCGCCTGTCGTCTGCACACCTGAGCATCGTTATCTTAGCGTAACGAGGTCAACATCGGTCACTTAATTTCGCGGAAGTCCGGAAATTCCGAAGTTGTGAGACCGTATTGCACGTTACAGGTGTATTAGTATTCCACTGAATAGTTTGTTTTATAAACATACCTTATAACCGCAGTGAGTCATCGGATGAGATAACAATTGCAGAAGAATTTCGAAAGGGTTGTAGGGGTTTACATACAGAATAGGCCCGAGGTTTTGATAACTTTTGGCCTTTACTCATAACTCGGGTGAATATAATTGCGATTTTGAGAAACCATATCATAATATTTTGCATGTGCAAATGAGACAATTTAGTTTTATTATCTCACAATGGGTATTATTCTCCATTCGTATGTAATCGATAGGGATATCCGATATATTGCCTAGTCTAATATGACAGATCCAGGGGTAGGCCTATTTCGAAAACCAAAAGTAAAGTCAACTAGAGCTCGTCGTATGACAATATAGAAACCACCCAGTTACCTACTCAGCATTAGACCACCTAAGTCAACAGAATAGCAAATGTGCGGAGTTGAACTCATATGAACTGAAGACATCTTTTTTTCTATATTTGTCAGTGTATGAGCTGAGGTATTCTTATTTTTTCTAAAATGGCTTGAAATCTTTTAAAAATGATGTAACGTTTTTGGAATGCAGATGCATTAGGTTATCTGCATTTAAGTAAATAAATATGTAAAAGACATAGTTGGTTGCTAGGTTTATTGTTAATAGCCATGTCAGAAATAACACACAAAAAAGCTGAATTGAAATTTTCGAAAATTATGTTTTTTTCTAAATATCGGAACAGCAGAACGAAAGAGGAGAGGGAGTGGAAAAATGACAAGAAACAAAAGGAACAGATAAATAAACGAACAAAAAGGGGGGACAAAGAAAAAAAAATAAGCAAAAGAAATGAAAATCAAGCCAAGAAACAATTTTTTCAAAAAATCTTGAGATCCAGTCGTAAGTTAATAATTATAATATCCTTTTTTTATCTTATCGCAGGTGATCCAACACCAATTGTATGGGACACAGAAAGACGACGAAAACCCCGCAATACTATTCTCAAGAATATCACCGAGCACAAGATTCGAAATGACCATCATCTTAGGGTACACCAACGTGGAATATATCGAGTTCAAAGCCACCTTTGCTTCAAAGTTCAAGTGGACGAAGCAGACGACATCTCGAGCACCTCACTGACTATGAGCGACGGGGACGAGCGCATCGGCAGAGGGCGCTCCAAGACATTCTTACATTTTGTGATAAGAAATTGCCAGGGAAACGAAGATGAAGTGTTGAAAACTTTGAAGCTGGTTTATCTGCTGCCGGGAGAAGAGTACAAATACTGCAGCGATCTGTCCGGCCTTGTTGGCATGGACAGCGGCTGCTCTTTGTATACTAAAATAAAATGTGAAGACGACTCAAGTGACCTTACACAATATCTGGAGCATTATAATTGGAACTTTTTTGGATTAAACAAAGTGTGACGGTTGATGTTCTTTCAAATTAAGTGGATTTTTCCTTTGAAATGATACCAAGTGACAAATAACATCCGTCCTTTTTATTTTTTTTCTTTATTTCAATACATTTTTCATGACACTGCTTGAAGATTTTCAGAAAAATTAATATATGTTATAATTGTGCTTAATTTGTTATTTTAACTTTTAAATAACTCCCAACTGCATGAATATCATATATGTCATCTTATTGCTTTTTTATTTTATCGGAAATTGATATTATGTACGTATTTGTATTATATGTATATATACAAATGTATTTTGTACATTATGCTGACAATATAAGGAAAAAATAATCTGGTGTAATACTAATTTATTGATTTTATTTTAAAAATCTAATGAATTGATTAATTCATTTCATTATTAATTTGAATTATGAACGTTAGTGTAAATATTGTAAATATGTACATAGATCCGAAGCGGAGTTAGTTTCAGAAGGAAAAAAAACAGTGTGCTGGCCATATTGTTTATTTCTAAGGGAATAAAGACAACAAATATGAACTCTATGGTTCAATTTCTTTCGACTTTAGAGCGGTTTAATTCTAGATCTTTTACACTGCATGCATATTAAATTTGACCCTACTCCCCTTCATATAGACCGAATAGCCTTTTAAAAACATGGGTGGGAAACATGTCAGCAGGGGCGGATTTAGAAGGGGGGGCTCAGGGGGTCCTGACCCCCCTTTTCAGTCTCAGAAATAAAATCACACTAATGGCCCCCTTTAAATTAGGATTTTGACTAGATGAATATCATAGTTCTAAACCGTACCAAATGGCACCGTTCGACCTCTAAAATACCAAATTTAGGGGGGCATTAAGCGGGCCACGAACTCCACCCTAGCGCTCCCCCCGCCAAGGGAGGGGATGTCGGGTCGGTTTCGCATTCGCGTACCCCACCCCCTTCAAATGTTCCTGGTTCTGCCCCTGGGTCGTGATCGTAGAGGTGGACCTGCTGAAATTTCTGAAAAAAAAAAACAGTTTCAACCTACTGATACGGCCCCGGATCTGTTGACTTCGGTTTTTTTCTTCCATCTCATCTCTCCGACTTCAAAGCAAAACATCCACCCCGCCCATGCATGTATTTTATTAAATAACAAGTTGGCATAACTGTTCGGTGGTTTGTGTCTTTTCTCACTCAAATGCTTGATAAAAATAAAAGATACGATGAATAGTAGGCTTCTGAACCTGAATGTATCAATTTAAAGAAAATCTTTCAACAAAACGTGTCAAGTTTCAAGCATTAAGAAAAAAATCATTTAGACCAAAATGCCAAAATTGACTTCCTGGTTCTACGAATCCCCACGTTCAACAATGCCCCATTGGATTTTTCCCAATCGATTTGTGACTGAGTCATGTTTCTTTTCTTAGGCATGTGGAAACTTTACTTCTTACTCCCACGCAAGGGCATTTCTTTCATTGCATAAGACACAAGGGACGAACAATATTGATACAAAACACTTGAGGGACCCGTTGGGCATTTTTGTTACCCGTTCATGCTATTGAGCGTGAGCTCTCCATTCCAGTGACTCGTGAATTCTGATTCTTATTCTCCGCCCGTGAATTGGTTATTTGTGGTTTCCGGATTATCAGTGAGATGTGAATAGAGTAGGCCTATATTATTTACTGTGATTTGTGATTTTATTTTCCCCCACGAACTGTGATCACTACCCTCCCCAATCGGACTCTCATACTTCAATTGACTTTAACTACTTATTTATTCATTTATTTATTTATGCAAACATGTTTAAATAATTATTTTATTAATATTTATTGGAGTGATGTAGGCTGGTAACTGAGAAAATACACTATAGATTATTTTGCTCTCTCGGTTTAATTTTACCGACTTTGGTCGCACAATATCATTTTCTGAACAATAATAACGGTATTTAGTGGCAGGGGGGTCCTAGCTGACCCCCCCCCCCCCCCCTCGATTTCTGAAAAAATCACACCCACGGTCCCCACTCGAAATTAGAATTTTGACTATTAACCTTTTTCATCTTTTCCGGAAATGGAAATTGCATTGTGGGTAGGGGAGCCCTGCTACGTCGAAACACTTAATTAACGGATATAACGAACTATCGGCAAATAAAACTCGGGGGTTAACAATGCGAGAAAAAAAAAAAACATTATAAAGATCTGAATAAAAAATTGAAGAATAGTCCGGGGCCTAAAATAAAGAAAAGACTTCAAGCATGAGATTATGGAAAAAGAAAGTAAAAGCTGTGAAGTTTTACGCGGGGATTCTGCGTACAAAAAAATCAAGAACTTTCACGACTTCTTGTGTAACAACAAAGAGGTTTGAAAAGTTTTGTATGTAGTATCCTTTTAGTGTGTGTTTTATTGATAAGTGATCATTGTAGTAGGCCTATCACAGGTTTTAGTCTCTCATAACCCTTTAGTAGGGTGGGTTCTTTTTTTTTTTTTTAACGTGAGACGTTAATAAAATTTTTATTATTATGTATTCAGTCCCGTATACGTATTACTGATTTGTACAAAAGGGGCTCATATTATCAAGATCAACAGAGACATACGAAGAAGAAAGTACATCGGCTCCTGTTGAACGCGTTATCGGCAAAATAAAAAGTTGTTTATTTCTGAACTCAATGACAAGAGAATTGGAAAATTCAGTGGGCAAATATTTACAAAACATTTTTACAGAAACAATATTTTTACAGAAACAAAACAATATTTACAGAAAAGCCTTTCTGTAAGCTACACGTACATTATACATGTATGGTAAAGACAAAATGGATAATAAAAATAATCTAACAACGTAATACAAATGTGCTTAGTATTAAAGTAGGCCTACGTATATTTAACTGTCTTAGATAGTTGAAAAGTATGAAATGTGTGGAAAACACTTTATTTGAATGATTTTATTGTCTTTGATTGAAAACGATGAAAATACGCATGAAAACATTTAAAAATCAAATAATTGGCCTCTTGCTATAATTTTGTTTTTGCCTGACGGTTTTGTTTCTGACATTTTTTAACTGTCGTAAATTATGTACCGGTACATATACTAGAGTAAGACACGGTAAACTTTAATTATCTTCTGGGAAAGACTCGAGAATTTCTCACCTATTTAACACTTAAAATTAGAAGGTTTTAATTACAGAGGAAAGGTCGTAGTTATGGCCGCCCCCCTTACCGAACAATTGAACAAGTAACACCTAATGCCTTATCAGGTACCAAACGATTTAATCAGTTCACCGACGAACGATCTGCGTGTCAGTTTTACCTGTATACACAGTAGGTGCGAGTCAAACAATGCAGGGAATCTTTTCATTTTATCACTTCAAAAATCTCTTAATACATCGGTCAAACACGACATAAAAAATCGTAAAGAATTGACACTGCTGGTAAATGAAGTGATATCGCCACAGCTTGCATATATACATGTAATATTGTGAAGACGTAGGCCTACGCACCTGTCCACACTCTTGAAAGCTGTGTACGTGTCTACTGGCTATTTTGATTAGGGGAGAGCGGGGTGGGTTGGAACGCGGGTAAGTTGGAACATTGGCTTTATTTCTTAAATCACGAGACCGATCATGTGCTCCTTCAGCATAAAAATGTCACATGGCATGAACATTAATCCGGGAAACTTTTGGAAGTTTCGAAAATGCGGTAAAAGTTTTATGCGAAAAAAACGTATTTTCGCCACTCGAAGTAAGTTTTCATATTTTTGACATTCATCGTGCTGTAAACTAAAGTATAAGGATTATATCACTGAAATTGTGCATAGGGTTTAGGACCACCTTGATGTTCAAAAAGCTGTAGTTTTTTTTAATCACCTCACACGCGTTAAAGAAATACAGTGTCATAAGTAGGTCATGATGTCATGGGGGCTGGTCGGAACATTTGACATGGGGTCAGTTGGAACACTGTCAGGGGTGTTCCAACCTACCCCGCACGGTGTTTTTC